AGCCATGTATTTAAGTTAACATTTAAAATTCCTGAATTTAAAGAGCTGGTTTAGGGCTCCATTGTCTGTCCTGATCAAACTTCTTCCCTTTAAAGAGTTTAAAAAAGGCTTTCTAGATACACAGCAACGAGTTACCCTCAGGGAGCACTATAATTTCTCTTGGAAGAACTCAGCACTGTGTTTTATTACACTACTGCTCCCTCTGGTAATTTATTTTCCTGTGCCAGCCTTGTCCCCAGCTCGTGGTTCAGGGCAGGGACCCCTGGTGTGGCCAGCTCATCTCCCAGCAGCAGGAGCCTCCCAGCTCATTTATGCTGATCCATAAATTCCCTGAACTTTGCTTTGCCCAAATAACCAGTTGCAGGATCTGAATCACCCCACTCCCAACCCGCTCAGCCAAATTAACCCTTCAGCTGCTTCCCAGCAGCACTGCAGTCACCAGTGTCTCCAAAAAGAGACTGGTTGGAAAATGTGAGGACATATTTTCCAAGGAAAAAAGGGGTGGGGATTTTATATTATAATAATATTCAGTTAAGCAAAAGTCTCCAGATCCTCAGATGTGCAGGAGCAGCACAAGCAAAAATCCACACATTTTCTCCTTCTTTCCATCATCTCTCTTTTTCCTTTCATTTCTTCCTTAGCTTTCTTACCCCCTCTCTTCCGTTCCCTCCTTTCTCTCCTTCCTCTCACTTCCCTCCTCCCTCCATCCCTACCTCTCTTCCCTCCCTGCATCCCTCCCAGTCTCCCTTTTCTTCCTCTTCTCCATCTCTGGGACAGGCTGAGAGGTCTCTGAACACTTCCCAAACCTGGAGATGTTTTCCTTCCATGGCAGAAGGATGTTCTCTGAAACACCTTTCATGTAATCTTTTATCTTCTTGCTCTTCATCATCCCAATTTCATCCAATATCTGTTCCCAATCTCTTGCTACTTTTATCCAATATCTCTGCTGATAACCAAAAGCTGGCTCCTGTGGTGAGTGACTTTTATTGTTGTGAAGTTCTCTTGTTGTACCAAGAAATTATAAATAAGGCAACTCTGAAGTGTTGTTCAGTTAGAGCTGAATGGCAGCATCTTGTTCTTCACTAGGTTGTTGTGGTGCCATAAATGTGTGGATGACTTAAATATTAAATATATTTATATATATATTAAACATGATTAAATATTCAGCTATAAGCTGAGAAGAATCTCAGAGCCTATATAATGTGTAAGAGTTGTGCCTCACACCATCCACTTTATTACTCAAACAGATGCACAGAAAAGGGTTTTTATGAACTGTTTTCACAGTTTGCATGGAATTTACTGGAATCAAATCCACAGCCACTTTGGAAAGTTTTGCTTTCCAAAGATTTCTCCCTTTCTGTGAGTGAGTCAGACAACTTTTCATTTTCAAGAAGGGGGGGGAAGATGAATGCAGGCCCATTTCCTAATTAATCAATGATTAGCAATGAAAGGGAGAGCGGGTCTGCCATAACAATGAGGATTGCAGCTGCCCTGAGTTATCAGCAAGGTTCCAAAACAAAACCAGGTAACCCTGTATTATATTTCCTGCCTTAATTACAGCCATCAAACGTGTGTGTGTAAAGAAAACGAGGTGGAAGCTGAAGGGCTGAGGGGTGCAGGACAGCAGGCTTGGAATAGAGGGGATTATTTGGATTGCAGCAGCAATAAAAGTGGCAAAACACCTTCTGCCATTTCCCCCTGTTCTGAAATGCTGTATGGAAACACATGGTTTTATAGAGATAAAATTAACTCTTCCAGCTGGGCTGTTTTGCTTTCAGAACTGTACCAGTTCTACAGGTCTTTTTTGAAATTGCTGAAACAAACATTTTCATAACTTTTCCTTATCCGTATGGTCCCAGTTCTGTCCTGTGAAATATTTTAATGTTATTCAGCATGTGTTTCTAAAGATAAAAGGTACTAAACATGTATTTCTAAAGATAAACATCTGTCTGATTATCTTGTTTTGCAATTCTTGCCTTGCATTTCAAGATATTCAGGCCAGTAATTGCACCAGTAAACCAGGATGCTGTGGAATTGCTGTGGAATCCGTGCCTAATTCAGTTTGGGTTGGCCATGTGAGGTTATTTCCAAGGAAAATGGATTGAAGGAACAGAAAAGAGAAGACACAGGTGACAATTTGAAAGGGAAGGTTTCAGTTATTCGAGTAGCAGCTGGTCAGGGTTTTATACAACTCCCTATGGCATCCTCTGTTATACACAGATATCCAGGTGGATGTTAAAACATTTAAATAACTGATTTATTTGTGTGTGTTCTGTGATATGCTTGAGATTCCAATCTGTGAGAGGACCTAAATAAATGTGGAAAATATCAAATAATATTTTATCTGGACCAAGTCACTGAGGGAGAAATCCCCTGTGATTAGGAGAAGAGTTGAAGCCTTGCAAATATGACCAGTGTGTGTAGAAGTTGTGTCCTCTGGAGGCTCCTCCATGACCTTGCTGTTAGTGCAGAGCCCTTGCTGAAGGATTTACCTACATTGCAAAACCATTGTGTGGGAGTGGAGGGAAGGGAAAACCATATTTTGGGAGGCAGCATGTGGCTGGAAACAGGTCTGGGAACTGCTCTCAAAGTTATTACTTCACAACAATAAAAGTCACTCACCACAGGAGCCAGCTTTTGGTTATCAGCAGAGATATTGGATAAAAGTAGCAAGAGATTGGGAACAGATATTGGATGAAATTGGGATGATGAAGAGCAAGAAGATAAAAGATTACACGAAAGGTGTTTCAGAGAACATCCTTCTGCCATGGAAGGAAAACATGCCCAGGTTTGAGAAGTGTTCAGAGACCTCTCAGCCTGTCCCAGAGATGGAGAAGAGGAAGAAAAGGGAGATTGGGAGGGATG